GATACTCTTTTTAGAATTTTCAAAATGGTAAAAATCTAATCACAGCTTCAGCCAATGATTGTCATGAGGACTGACAGACGTGTGTTAAACATGAAGTTTAACATTGAAGAACTAAAGTCATGTGACTCCACTGACAGCCTATCAATGAAGGCCAGTGGACTGGGACAACAGTAACAATGACTGACAACTTTCACTTATGAGTTACAGATCAACAAGTCACTGAAACAACAACGTTACAGACCTGTGTTTTACAGCGTGTCACTGTGTAATGTCTCTGTGTGAACTAAGAACCCGGTTCTTCCAGTGAGGCTTTTATTGTGACCTCACTTGGTATCCAACCTTTTTTGTATCAAGGACCGGTCAGCTGGTATCAGCCGTAAACTGTGGACCAGTAATACCGCTCCGTTATTGAAGGATCGTTAAATTTATGAAACAAAACATCTTTTAGACCTTATTCTTTTAATGAAAAAAGTAAAGGGATATGACTGGATTTTTTTCAATGAAGTAAATGAGTAAAAGTTAAGTATATTTTTGCACTGTGTCCCACTGTGGCCTGGTATCAAATGACCTACGGACCAGCACTGGTCCCCGGACCAGGCATTGGGGTCCCCTGATTTATACAACAAACGTCACCCTGAAGTGATCTTCACTAACGCTGATTCTTATCAGTAAAAGTTCTACAGACGGAACCAACAGAACCACTGGTCCCATCAACAAAAACAGGGCAGTTTTGATTTTGATCCGACATCTATATGAGCTTCCTAACCCTGCTGGTGACTGAAGGTCCTGCAGCCAAAACTGATTTTTGTTGAAAATTATTCTGGAAAAAAGTAAAGAACAGGAAAAAAAATGTAAGAGGTGACATTTCAAACCCTAAATTATTTTCTAAGAGGTTCTGGAGTGTGTGTGTGTGTGTGTGTGTGTGTGTGTGTGTGTGTGTAGGTCTGTGTTTGTTCCTACTGAGATGTTTATTGACTCAAACTCTGTTGGATGAAATTCCAGAGAAAAACTGAGAAACAAATGAAAAAAACCTGGAGAGTTTCATTGGATTTTTTTTGTCTTGATTTCAGTTAAAAAAGTTTAAAGTTCAACTTCTGTCTTTTCAAAAGTTTTTGTCTTTTGATCTAATATGGGATTTATGAAAATGAACAGCTGACTGAATGGGGGAGGCAGTAGGGGGCAAAGGAGGTCAGGTGGTGAGGAGGGTGCTGAATAGTGGGGGCGTGGCAAGTATTAAGTTCAACCATTAACTGAAGAACAAATGATTTAAGTCAAGAGACAGAGACACAGACCTGTCCTTCTTGCCCGTCCACTCGTCCACTCGTCCACTCGTCTGGTAGCTAGCTGCCCAGTGAAGGTGAGTTCACTGCATGGAAATAATTCAAAAGTCAAGTCGTTTTCACTGACTGTTGAATTGTTTTCAACACAATAGTTAAAATGAGTTCAGTCTGTTTTAATTGTTTAGAGACTGTTCTAGAGTTGGAGGAGTCAAAGGCAGGTTGAAGTAGAAAAGGAGCAGGACCTCACCTCGCCGCTCCACTTGGACGGAGAACTGAAATAAGGAGGAAAGTCTGCGTCTGTGTGTGAGTCGACTGAATGTGTGTTTTACACCTGAGTTAATTATGTGCATTCACAACATTTATGTGTGATATTCACACTATTCACACTAATATTATGATAATATTAGCATTTTACCCATCACCAAAGTCAGTGCTCAGAGCACCAGTGATGACTTGGCAGGTGGTGGACTCGGACCTACAACCTTCCAGACCCAAGTCCGCTTCCTTAATTTCATTGATGTCTTTGTTGTTTTTAGTGTGAATTTCTGTCAGACAGGACCAAGCAAATGGGTTTCACTGACCTGTTGGACCAGGTGAGTTCACACTTGGTCTCAATACTGTAAATTACTTTGTTATTTAACTACTACTGTCTGTTCTGATGACTGTGCATCTAAAATGCAATAACTGTGTGTAATCTACGGAGTATTCTGTCTAAATACTGTATCACCTGATGCGTGCGTACTGGTGCGTCTCTTACACTGACCTCCCTATAGGTGGGTGGGTTTGGCCGATACCAGTGGCTTCATGTGACTTTGATCAGTTTACCGGGTTTGTTGATGGCGAGTCAGAACCTTCTCAACAACTTTATCTCAGGAATCCCTAACCACCACTGTATGGTGCTGGCCAATCACAGCCTTCTCAATCTTTCCCTGCAAGAGGTAACTGGTGGCTGTGAGTAACCAGTGTGAAGTGACCAGTGTGACTGATGGTTGTTGGTAACTTTGTTCCAGGTGGACGCTCAGCAGCTGCTGAAGGTCTTCATTCCTTCGGACGCTTCGGGAAGTCGCCTAGAACGCTGCAGGAGGTAAATAGTCCAAAGATCCGTCTGATTGGTGGACATCCTCTTGATGCCTCTTCCTGTGATGTTGTCTCCTGCTCCAGATTTGTGCAGCCTCAGTGGCAGCTGTTAGCTGCTAACAACTCTTCTAATGGAAGTGAGCCACAGACTGAAGAATGTCTGGATGGATGGGTTTTTGATCGCTCTGAGTTCCAAACCACCACTGTCTCCGAGGTAACTGTTGTCCCTCACCCATCTGTGACCCGTCTCCATGTTACCCGTCTGTGACTTGTTTGTCTGTGACTCGTCCGTCTCCTAGTGGGACTTGGTCTGCCTGCGTCGTCCCCTTAAACAAATGATCCAAACCATCTACATGGGTGGAGTTCTGGCTGGTGCCATCATCTATGGGAGTCTGTCTGACAGGTGAGAACTTTCTCCCATGGAAACAGGAACAGATGCAGTGCAATCTAATCAAAATGTCCATGTGTGTCTCAGGTTGGGGCGGCGTTCTATCCTTATATGGTCGTACCTGCAGCTGGCCGTGTTAGGCTGTTGCTCTGCCCTCTCTCCTACGTACTCTGCTTACTGCATCTTCAGGTTCCTGAGTGGAATGGCAGTTTCAGGAATCATCCTGAATGGAGTCTCACTGAGTACTGATTTGTCTGTTTCTGTCTTCACTGAGAACCGATCTTTCTACTTCTAACTTTCTCAGAGTACCAATCTATGTTTGTCATTTCATTTAGTAGTGACTGTTTTGTTCCCATCTCCACTAAGTGCCAATCTGTGTTTTTAAGGAACACTCATACATTTTAGTCTTTTACTCAGTGAGTAGTACTCAGTGAGTAGTACTCAGTGAGTAGTACTGTTTGTGTCAAGACTTCTTTCATCTCCTCGTCTCGCTCTCCTCAGAGGTGGAGTGGATCCCGACAAGAACTCGAACTCTGGTGGGCACACTCAGCTCCTTTTTCTTTACCTTTGGTCAGATGATCCTGGCTGGCCTTTCCTGGTGGCTGAGAGACTGGAGGAAGCTGCAGGTGGTCGTCTCTGCACCTCACTTCCTCTTCTTCGCTTACAGCTGGTCAGTGTCTAGTTTGTTAGAAGGTTCCAGAGGTACGTGACATCAAAGGTGTTATACTCCTGCTCTTTGATTGATTAGGTGGTACTCGGAGTCTGCTCGCTGGTTGGTGATGAATGGTCAAGCTGAGAAAGGGTTAAAGACTCTTCATCGAGTGGCAAGAATCAATGGGAAAAAGGAGATGATTGACAAGCTGACTCTGGAGGTAACCTGTTGGTCATAGTTGTTAGTTGTCTGTCATCCAGTACCAATCAGCACTCTGAGGTATACCTTGTGAACGGCAGGTGCTACAGTCACATATGACCAAAGAGGTTGAGTCCAGTCATTTGAGGTTCACAGCCTATGACCTTCTGAGGACCAGAGGCATGAGACGCATCTCCATCTGTCTGATGGCTGTGTGGTGAGGGACCATCCTGTGCAAGGGATCATGGTTATCTGAAACTCTCAAGTTAGCTTGAAAAAACAACAAGCCAGCATTAATTAAAACATCAGAGTGAGATTTACTCGAAAATTTCAAGTTCCCTGTTCCTGAGTTGTTAATTTCAAAATTTGAAAAACCCAGAGTCCAGAGTTCTCAGGTGTTATGCTCTGGTTCTTTGTCTCTTACATCTCCATCTTTATATGAGGGGAGTAGGGGGAGGGGGTGAGGTTCTGGATTTGAAGCTGGTTCTGATCTTTCAGGTTCTCAACCAGCTTTGCATACTACGGTTTGGCCATGGACCTACAGAAGTTCGGGGTGAGTTTGAACTGCTCATTGTAGGCATTTAGACTTCCTGCTCTGCCATTGGCTGCTCATGAAGAGTCGGCTCCTCAATGATGTTTCAGGTCAGTATCTATGTGGTCCAGCTCATCTTCGCAGCTGTTGACATTCCAGCCAAAATTCTGACCCTGGGCATGCTCAGTTGGCTGGGGAGGCGGGTCTCTCAGGCCCTGTGTCTGTTCCTGTCTGCTGTCATCATCTTTGCCAACATCTGCGTCCCCACAGGTGTGTTGTATGTGTGAACATGTGTGTGTAGTTGTGGGGACTGGACCTCCAGCTGCCCTCCGGCCTGGACGTCTACAACCTCACATCCCCACCCACTTTACTTTCCTTGTAGACATGCAGACTGTGAGGACGGCGTTAGCGTGTCTAGGTAAAGGTTTGACATCTGCATCGTTCACCGTGGTCTACCTGTACAGTGGTGAGCTCTACCCCACCGTCATCAGGTGAGATGGACCAGTCAGCATTAGACTAACCTGAGATTAAACAGCCACAATAATCTGGCTAACTGTGACTAATCTCACCTCAGACCTGTTTTCACTCTGATTTACCGACCCACAGTCAGTGGAGAGAGTGTGGGTGGTAAAATATTTTGGGGTATTTTCCCCCTGGTATCATTAAAAAACCCCAGTGGGTCCTCAGCCTGAAAGAAATTGAAGACCAAGTAGTGGCCACTTGGTGAACATGGTGTTGACATTAAAGTGGACATTAACAGTCAGTACAAAGGTTGTTGAGTTCAACTACACTTCCTGTCTGTTTCTTTGTGTGCACGTCCACATGGACATTTTTAGGCAGACCGGACTGGGCTTTGTATCAACAATGGCCAGAGTGGGAAGTATGGCAGCTCCAGCTGTGCTCATTTTGGATGAGGTGATGTCCTTCACTTTGTTAG